GCTATATTTCTCAAGGATTGCCGAGTCATCTACAAAAATTGCTTAAGTTATGGAAATGCAAGCTACGCTAGATAAACAGAATCGTGTGAACTGGCAATTGATTGTAGAGAAACTGGATGCAATGAACCTAGACATGAAGGACGTAATGAAAGTCATGAAAGCCTTTCGATCCGACAATGATTTGGCTAAGGTATTTATGAACCTGACGAGCGAGAAATACATGCGTGCTTTGGTTTTTGACAAGCTTGGTTTTGATCTGCCTCCACTATCGTAGATTGCACGGATTTTATAGTGTATGTATGAAGTTGTATGTATTTGTAAAACTTAATCCACATATGTGGTCTTTTGAATGTTTTTTTTGTAATGCACACACGTACAAATTAGGGTGCAATGTTTTGTAAATATTGGATTGATAATTTTTGGTATAGTCTCCCAAGAGTTGGAGGTATTTTCAGAAAAGGGTTGACTTTTGTTTATGGATTTTGCAGCACAGCTGATGTATGTGTTATGATTGAATATCAAAGTGAAATGTTTCGAAATGTTCCAAAATGTTGAGATTTTTGCAGTTGGTAGGATTTGATGGCTGGATAACTCTTGGAACAGAACCGCCTATGCCATTTTTCTCTTTGTAAATCATACAAGACCTCAATTTTGTGTTTTTAGATCTACCATTTGTTTCCAAGAGGTTGTTGGAAAAGGAAAACAAATCTCGAAACCAATCAATTTTGAACTTGATATTTTAGATGTTGAAAGCAAAATTGGAAAGGCACAAAAAAAAAAAAAAAAAAAAAAAANAAAAAAAAAAAACTCCCCAAACAGCCCTCGCTCCATATACCTTGCTGCAAAAGTTTTACTTGGGAGAACTTAGATGGCTTAAATTATTATTATTTTTTTTTTACTTACCTTTCAAGGCTTTGGTTAGGAAGAAAAGATAGCTATTGAATCCAGGGCGAATATTTATACTGCGGTCGAACCCAGCGCACTTACATATGTTAAGCTCTCTCAGTCCTTTCATGTTGATAAATTAAGCTCAATTCCTGGGAGAGAAGGTGTGATGGGATTTTAGTAGTGCATGTTCCAATGCCATGTTTTTTGCTCATTTTTGTATATGCATATTATTTTTGAAAACTATAATCTGTCTTCTCCAACTCTCATGAATTCTGTAATTTGATATTTATTCTGCTCCTTGTGTGGCAGCTTCAATCATCTGGTTGGAAAACAGAACGTCTTTTGTCACCCTCAGTTGTTTGGAAGGCAAATTGGTTATTGAGATCTTCAGACGAAAAACTAGACTAGGGAACTAACTAGCTCAGTTTTATTTAGGTGAACTGAATCTTAAAGAGAGTATTTAATTGGAATATAAGCTATTCTTGAGTTGTTAAGACTTATCTCAAAAATGGTGATAAACTTAGTTAGGCAACCATTTAAATGTATTATTATACCTTTTGGAAACTTTTGTTTGTAGAAATGCACCATCTCTCATAACATATTAGGCAGTTTTAAACCATTTGGAGAAAAATTATAACTGTAAACCATTCATTCTTTTCCATTGATAAGCGACCTAAATGAATCTATGTTCAAGTGTGCTTATTTTTCTTGTAACTGCTAATATTGCCTTGATTGTATACATTTTATCCTTCCACAGAAATCAGCAGCCCAGGTTGAGTCAGTGGAGTTTGAATACAATCAAGTTGGTTGTGCAATTTGCCTAGGACAATTGATTATTTAAACCACAATGACAAGCTCAAAACAAGATTTGTTCTTAGGTGCACTTTGAGAAGCTCCCATTTCTTTCCATTGCCAAAAGTAGTCTCTCGAGAAATCAGCACAGACAGACAGATGCTAGTGCTAGTAAATCTATCATTTTGTCCCTTACGTACCACCTTTTTGACCAAATTCTATCATTTAATGCTGAAGAATTTTACTCGGGTGAAACATTATTTTTCTTTACACTATTCAATGTTAAACCATTGTTTTGTATTATCTTTTGTTCATGGTTTCTTGGAAATTATAAATGGCTATCAAACACCAATAGTTGGAAAAAAAAAATTCATGGAAAACAAAGCCTATCAAACAGTTAAAGATAGAAAAAATCATAATTTTCCATGGAAAACTAAGGCAATCAAACACCAAAAGATGGAAAATTTCAACATTTCTAGGTGAAAAAATATACCAATCAAATGCAATTAATTGATATTTCCCGGGAAAATAAGTTCTAGTTTTGTGTTTTGAGTTTTGAATTCATTTTATGTTTTGAGTGTGTTTTGAATTGCTGAAAATGCATTCTTTTTGCCATTCTGAAAAACTGTTTCTAAAAACATAAAAATGGAAAACACGTTTACTTTGAAATTTTGAGAATATTTTTTTAATAATATTTTATTCAAAAAATCTGATTATTCAATAAATGTTAATAATCATTTGAATGCTTATTATTTCACTTTTTATAACCATTTGAATGCTTAAAGACGTGTGAGTATAGTCATTTTTGGCAAATTCCCCATCTCAGTCAGGATTATAGTTTTCAATCGTTTTTTTCTAGTTAAAAATTTCAAACACGAGCTTGTTAGCAGAGTGATTGAGGTGCTATGCCTTCACCTTAACGTACAAAGTTCAAACCAAGATACAACGTTTGGTTGTTTATCATGGCAGTCGAAGCAAGTGTATCACAATTTGAACTCTCAACCAGTACTTAATAGTTATGAATGACAACAAAAATGTACCGCAAAAACTAGAAATTTCAGTTATCCATTCATGTAAACATGTAGTTTCAACATTAACTCTCAAACCAAACTTGGTCATCTGTGAAATTAATGGCAAGATCCTAATAATGAGCAACCATATGATCTGAAAAGAATTTTGTTGGGGATTTATCTTCCCCAGAGCTCCAAGATCAGTACAAGAATTGCAGAAGAAAATGAAAATGGCAAAAAGAAATAGAATTGACAAACCAGCAAAAGGAAAAACATAGCAGATTTTGGTAACAGGAAGAGTTCTTCTTCCTCAATCTTTATTCACAAAAGGTTACATAAATTCAATTACATGAATCAGTAGAAAGAATTTTCAGATAGGTTCATCTCCAATCTACACTTTCTACTCCAGAATTACAGAGTTTTTCTCACTCTCAAGTTCACTATTCAGAGCTCCCTTTCTCATAGAGATTTCCTCTCATTTCGAGCTCCTTTTTCCCTATCTCGAGCTCTCTATTCAGAGCTCCAGAATTCTCTAAACATTGAAATCAAGATCCTCCAAGAAATGTCAAGAAAAACATTGAAATCAACCAGTCAATCAACCAAACATTGTTAAACCTAACCAATCACCACCGCCAGTCACCACCACCACTGTCTACCATCGCCACCACCAGTCACCACTGCCAATACAACCACCACTGCAATTTCCAATCAACACAACCGAAATCAATAGGTCGAAACCAATCAACACAACCAAAATCGAAAAAACCAAAAACCCCCCAAACTTGCAGATCGAAAAGAGAGAGAACTTCACCTTCGTCTTGCCGCGANGGTCAAAACGATGTTTTTATCGTTTTGTGTTTTGTGTACAAATTTGTTATCGTTTTCAAAAACGCGTTTTCAAAAATAGGAAAGAGAACGCGTTTTCATTGTTTTGGAAAATCGAAAACAGAAAACGACCCAAAACAGCCAAAGAGAACGGTCCCTTATTTTCCCTGAAATTCATTTCTTTCTACCCAATTTTCCAAGGTGCAATCAAACGGACCCTAATAGTAATAATGCAATTTTCTATTTCTTGATAATAAGAGTGTTTGATTAGCTTCATTTTTTTTATATAAAATGTTTTTCTTCCCACCCAAATTCATATTTTGAAGCGTTTGATTGATATTTGTATTAATAGAAAATATTTTCTAAAAGTTGGACACCAAACCATATTTTTCACAAAAACAAGAAAAATATTTTCTTTGTAGATTTTCATTTTAAGAAGTCTTATAGAATTTTTGTAAATATCGAAATATAAAATTCTTTCTTTACACGTGGAGAAAGTGAAAAGGCTAAAAATAATTTGACAATGCGTCTACAAAGTCACCAAAATATAGAAAGAGCTTCGAATCAATCCTTTAGTGAAGAATTCTCATGAGACAAATTATATCATGCAACAAAAAATCCATTCTGAAGGGAGTAAAGAGACTTATCTACCCCACATTTTTAAATAAGATAAACAAATATGAAAATTCGAAAAAAAAATACTTTTTCCAATCTAAGAGAATATTTAAAAAAAAAATCGTCGTTCGAGACAATATATGCTATTTAATTGAAAGTTAAAGATTTGAATGCAATAATTTTTTTTTAAAAAAAAGGGATCACACACACAAATATGAGCAAAAATTGAGAATCTTCATTGCAATTAAATTGTGGTGCAATTAATAAAAATATAATCACCCTTCTAATAAAAAGCTACTTGTATAGTAGAGAATGAACTCTTTTCTATTGCAAGTGCAAGTGTTTACCTCGGAGGATTTGAACATTATACTCGTGATGTAAGAAATTCATGAACTAAATTTTTATTTCATTGAAATGTAACATAGTGATCCACATTCCAAATACTTGAAAGCACCAAAAAAGTAACAAATGGAAATCTGAGAAAAGAAAAAGCAGTGCAAGCCTCGAATGATCAAAGAATAAAGACTTTAAATCAGAGCTGAAATTTTGCTTTCTAACTTCTACAACAATATAAACCTGTACTTTACTGTATGACAAACCTCTTTTCTTCGAATGAGCAGTGATGTTGAACTGACTTTTCCTCCTTAACCTACCCTACAGGTATTTAGCAGCACTTTCCATCTATTATTTTCCTTCGATAGAGACCAAGAAACTGCAAATTAACCTTTCCTGTCACCAGTCAAGAATTCGTGAACCCGCAATAACATCTATGGTTATAGTCACGACCGGGTTACAAACTCAAAAAAGCAGCAAAATAAGTCGAGGGAAAGAGAGCCAATCCTTAGTTTGGGAACAAACACGTGGGTAGAATCAACAGAGTTCCAACAAGCAAACGCATTCGATATGTGGAGTGTGTGGAAACATGTCTACCGGTTGTACGCTTCTCAGCTTGTAGCATCCACTTATGTTCTGCTCTGGCTGCATCCAGGGATTGCGACAAACTGAGATTGTCATTATTAAGAAAACAACTTTTTTATCAACAAAATGCTACTCACCACACCATGACAGAGGTAATCAAGGTCACGGGCGCAGGTGGCAGGATTGCAAGATACATAGATAATACGTGCTGCCTTCAGTTTTAGCAAAAATTTGATTAATTTCATGTGCATGCCTGGCCGATTAGGATCTGCAGAAGAAGAAATAGTAAAACAAATGTAAGTAATTCAGTATAATGATTGTTACTATTTAGTTTCACGAGTTTCAGCAACCTAGCCGGTTATCCATTTCTTGTTGCATTCAGGTGTTTCCACTTATTTGGAATAGAAGGCATTCGTCTCAATCTTTATGCTGAGATTTGGAGACAAATGTGTTCCCTTCATTGCAAAGTTCGACAAAGGCATAAGCAATAAATAACAATTTCTTTTGGATAAAAGCAAATGGACCGACAAAGATAAAATACACTGCTTTTCCAGCCTACCAAAGAAATAGAGAGCAGCAAAGACAGACCAACAAATCAATACCATTTACAAGAAAGTCAAATCACAACATGGCTTTGACTTCATTATTAGAGTACTTTGAATAAAAGCAATTTGTATAATAATAGGCTAGGTTCAAAACTCATCAAAGAATAACTGAACTAGCAACTAATACATCTGACAAGAAGATAACCTGTAATGACAATGTCAGGCTTCGGAAAATAATTTCCAAAATTCTCATCAATTTTGTTAAGATCCCCTTGGACAAAGGTGGCATTACATATACCATTCAAATTAGCATTACGGCGTGCATCGGAGATGGCTTGATCAACTATTTCAAAACCGTATACATGTCTCACCCTGAGAATGTGGATCAATGGAAAAACAAAGGTTAGGTGCACAAACTATAAAGCCAATAACCAATGACCAAATGAAAATTACCTTTTCGCAAGTGTAAGACCAATGGTTCCCGTTCCACAAAATAGATCTAGAACTATTTCTGAACCATCTCCCTTTAGACAGGCACAGTCCTCTATTAACTTATAAAGAATCTCTGCCTGCATGGTGCAACCAACCGTATAGCATCACTTACTGGAAATATTTGAGAGAACTCAAAAGGTAAGTTGAATACATAAACCCACTTGGATTGAGCTTTAGGTTGCTATAGCTCGGTTTGGTAACATAAACAAGCCTGAAAATTATTCAAACTTGGCTTGTTTATTACTCGAGCGAGCTTGATTGAGGTTCGATAAATTGAATATGAGAGGTTCTCGAGCAATATGATTACACTATATTTATTGCCTATTAGCTAGAAGACAAGCTATGAGCTTAATGATGTTTTTAAGCTTGGCTCCTTTCATTTTCAAGCTGAGATTGAATAAGTTCTAGATAAAAGCTCGAGCATGGAAGCCATTCAAGCATATTGCCAGCCCTCCAGAAGGAAATCTCAGGGTAATCATACATTACGTCAGAAAAGCAGTATCTTTAAAAAGTGGCATCTAATTGAAATACAAATATAAGCTATAACACAGAGTCATTCAATATCAATTGTATTATACCTGATGTGTATTTGTCTGGAAAAATGAGTTTGCTGAAATTTGGAAAGCTAATCCTCTTAGACTCTCTGTAATTGTTGATTTTCCATACAGTGTATACTCCTCCTCCCCAACAGATGTGTTTCCCACAGAAGTATTTACATTGTTCATGATGCTTACCTAGGTAAGTTCCAACAGAAAAAATAAGAAACTAGATTACATGGCATATCTTTAACCTATTAAGAGAGTGTAGGAATTATGTAGTAAGTGACTCAGTGGGAAACAATTTGAAAGAAGATGCATTGAGCATAGCTCTCCTCAAGAAAGCAAGTCTAACTGAAAGTAAATTTGTAGTAGCATTTTATGAACTCAATCCTTCCTTTCTCCCACTTAATTCAATTGACCACAAACTTAGAACAAAAACTTCTACTGAAATTGTTCTTTCATGGTTCTATTTCTTCCATATTTCAAAGTCAAATTTGCTAAAAATACATTTATAATTATAGGCATTGTAACGAAATTTTCAGCTCTACACCTTCAAAAATTTCTCTAAATTGATCAACGTGATTTCAATTATGCACAAAACAAAACCTCTCTAAGAAACCTAGAGACCAATCCAGGCTAGCACACATAGGGATCTTTACAATTTGTAAAAGACTTTCCTTTGCAAATGCAAAAGAATCAACTATGAGGTAAGCATAAAAACTATTCTAATTAAATCACCAACCACATCAGGAAAACTTGTAATTTTCTCTACGAGGGGCTTCAGCAGCTCTGGCTTGTATGACGAAGTCACAAAATTAACCATAAGCTCCAACTGGCCAGTCTCGATATTCCTGAAACAGAGATATAAATCGACTAAGCGTTGAACTATGTTATCTAATATATACTTTTAGACACTAAAGAGCAATATGCTAGATTGACGAGGAAAAAAAATTCTATAAGAATAAAATCTACCGCTTCCACTAAATACTCACGTTATGTACATAGAGGAACCAGAAACTATTAACTATTAAGCAAAAAAACTAATTGTGAGGTGGCAAACACAGGCATCCATTTAAAAAAAAAAAAAACTAATTGTGTACAATATGTACACAATTACGATGATTCCTCCCTCTCTGTTTACCACTTCCTAAAATTTTCAGGTAATTTATCTCATACTTGAAAATGAAACTTATAGAAAACGCAGTGGGATGATCCTTCTCGACTAAACTTCGCACGTATGGTGGGGTGAAAAACTAAGGATGAGCTGGAATGAATGTATCAGTTGGAGACTTGGAGAGATTTCTTAGTTATCCAATGGTCACAGGTCTCATAAAATTATGGGTAGCAATCAAAGAGGGGAAAAATTAAATCAATAAGGAGAATGACAACACAATAGTTCAGAGCCTATTACCACAACTCTTCCAGATGCATGAAACATCTGATTTTAACTTTTAAACAAACTTGGAGAAGGGAATTGAACACCTCTTCATATTTTGCTGTGATCCTAAATGTAGAAAGTTCAGTAGAATTGTTTTCTACAACTATTTCAAATAGTTTTGAATATGTGATTTGAAAAACTATGAACAGATAAGGTCATGCCACACCAGACAACTGTCTCCAAATCCAAGGAAGGAAGGTTTACCATGTATTTTTTGAATTTCACTTCTCTATTTTTTTTTTCTTTTTTTGGTTATGGTACGCTAACAATAGCAAATATTGGTTTTTAATAGTGTATACAACATTGTAAGTACATATGTTTATACATCGGAGCATCCTCTTTGATGCAACTCTGCAAAAGAAATCTGGAACTTATTTCATGTCATCGCTGTTGAAATGAAAAGGGAGTATGTGCTACCTATTGTTTAGATACTAGTGTTTCGAATCTGAAAGTAAAAGAAAATGAGAACCATCGCAAGATCTAAAGAGAGAACTGGACAAGTATGACTACCTGCCAGCTCTGAGCATCAGATGCTTCAAAAAGCCACCATGAGAGTACACATTGTATGGAGAGAGACCAAACTGTGGATCCCTCCAACAATCTTGAATAGCTGCAAGAACCTATAAATCAGAGACAGAATATAATGCCAAACTGATTCATAAAAGTAATTAGTTCATAGAAATGCACAAATGATATACTGCGCATGAAATATATATCTAATCATTCCATGTTTTAAATCGCCTCTCATTCCCATAGACAGACTAAAACTGTCAAATAATCTTTGGAAAGTAAAGTTCCTGAAGAATTAGTTATAGATGAATCGACAATATTAACTATGTTTGGTTAACTAATGCAGTCTGCATGGGTTGCTATACTTTTTTGGGCTGTAAACATTTGTGATACGTGAACAACAACCTATTAGTTCATCAGCATCTTATTTAACTTTGTGATACATGAAGTATGAGAAGAATTGAAACAAATGAGGATATAAGCAAACAGACTACAATCCACACCAACAGCTTTGATATATAGAACACAGCACCATCACATGTACCCTATTGCAAGCAGCGATCATCATTCATGAATACAGAGAGAATAATTAAAAACAAGCTCAAGACCACACAAATAACATATTATTATGTTTTGGCCCTACGCATGAACACCAGAGAAAGGAAAACCAGGAAAGTGCCTGCTAAGCAAAATATAGCAGCGGTATTGATTACATGGTACTCAGCTTTACTGTTCTCTCGGACTGGTGAGCATATTTTAATATTTTTAAGAACAAATTAACGAATGGAATTAAGTTTGTACACACAACAGTAATATAGAAACACTTGTCTTTCCTGAATGCAATATTACCCTTTTTCTTCCGTCACTTTTGCTTAATATTTTATCTTATGATATAAAATGTAAATAGATAGATGAAAGATACTAAAAGCATGTTTAGGAATTGTTTATAATTGGTTTGAATTATAAATAGCATAGAAATGAGTGATGATTAAGTGGATAGTACTTGTGGGTTCTATAAATATGTGAATAAAAAGTCGTTTGACCAAAAGTATTTATAACTAAAACACTTGCTAAACAAGGGCTAAATTATAATTTTTTACTTTTATTTTTTTAACTATCAAGTATAATCTTTACCTTTCTTAATATTCTCATCTGCTACTTCGAAATCCCAAGTCATGAGAACTATCCTTGCACATACTACTCAATAACATGAAGGGGAAAGACGCGTCAACATTTTAAGGTTACATGAAAAGGGCATTATATATTGGCAGATTTGCAAATGTAAGCTCAAAGCTTCATGGTAGACCACACTCACATAAAGAGGCATATTGGCAAATTTGCAAATGTAAGCTCAAAGATTCACAGTAGACCTCACTCACATATAGAGGCAGGTAGACCTGTGATCATTTCCATATGCTGTCATGTTGTGAGGTTACAAATAAAAGGTGCCTATGTCAAATCCATTAAGCGGATGAAGCAAGCACAACTTCAGACAATGCAAGAAAAAAATTGTTATATTGCCAAAAGAACATGCAGAATCCAAATGAATTTCTAGCAAATAAAAAATTGTGGGTCTGCGTAATTGAGATAACTATCCGCATACCCTGTTGGCTGGATCACTTTGTAATAAGCACTTGTCTATATTCAGGACCTTATCAAAAAAGCCAGGAGCATGCAGTCCCAAAGCATATTCATTGTTTTCATCACCCTCTTGTAGTAACAATTCTGGAGGTAGCCATTTTCTGGTGCCAAAAGAGAACTCCATCTGCATAGCCACAAGAGAAGTTTTAAAAGCTTAATCATTATCTCCATTTTTGCCTTTTAATATTTTTCATTGTCCCTCTTTTGTTGATCTGCTTCCCTCCATTCCCATTCATTAAAAGAGTGCTGCCCCAAAAAAATTTGTGGCTGAACTGCTTAGAGATTCATAGCCTGGTTTGTAGAAGTATGGACTAGTTATTGTACTAATGTGTATTCAATACATCTACGTCAAATCAACATGGTAAGCATACTGATGTGAACCTCCCCTCCTTATTTGAAACCGCATAATCTCATAAAAGTATGGCTGTGCTCTTTCTAAATCTTAAACACCATTAGTCAGGGTTTAATTACTACGGTGAAAGAATTTGCAACCTGTAAGAGAGAAAACAAGGATATTCCCTAATCAGAAACTAACGTGTAAATTTTGTTGTTCTTATGTTTTTGAGTATAACTATCTCAGAATAGAAATGGATCCATAAGCGACAAATATTGTGGATTTATGCTTCTTCAGCCACTAAAATACAAAGAACATTTTTTCATACTGCTGAGTTGAGTTCTTCATTAACCTTGTTTCGATAGTGAAACTGGATATCACAAGGAACGATGGGCTTCATGACGCCCCTAATTTCTGGGTCTTTATCTGAAATTTTTCCAACGTGTGCAATCAATTCATGCACTTGTTGCTCCTTAGCCCTGACCTGGGCCTCATACAACAAATTCTGCGTTTTACAACCTCCACAATATGATGCATATTCACAAGGCGCCACCACACAGTCCCAGTGAGGAGATATCGTCTTCACTTTCTTCACCTGCACTCCCATTTCACCAAAACAATAAAAAAACCCTCATTCAACAAATATTTATATTTCATCCAGACATTTCATCGAACATAAGAAATACAGCAAAACAAAAATAAGAACACAAACAAATGCACCTCAGCGTAATTATCTTTTCTGCGTGTGACACGGCCAACGAACTTCTCACCCGGGAGTGCGCGATCGCACATGACTATAAAGCCAGAGTTTGCCACCTTGCATATACCCTTGCCTTTGAAAGCTAAGGTTTCGCACACTAGCTCTAAAGTCTGACCTCGCTTCGGGAAATAAGAAGTGGGATTTTCGCTATTATTTTCACTCGTTTTATGCTTCGTTACAGTAGTTGTGGGCTCCTCTGAGTGTGGGATTGAAGAGGATTGAGAAAGACAAGAAGAGGCGAGCATAGAGAGAGAACATACTGGAGTTGTAAAGCAGAGGCTTTGGAGCCATGGACGAGTGTGAAGGCGGCGTAGACCGCCGCCTGTGGGTATCGCCGCCGCCGCCATTGTGCTTTTACAAATTTATCTGCTTTTGGTGTAGGCTGAATTGGGCGGAAAAGAAATGGATGAGGAAAGGGTCGTTATAGAAAGCCGTTGGAAGGTAAAATGGCAACTATTCCAAGTGGACGGTCCTACGTGTATACGGTAAAACGATTCATTCAAATCATAAAAAAAAAAAAAATTACCACTTGTTTTGGGGAATAATTCAAATCATAATAGTTTAGATGTCGAATGGATCTATCCACTTATTACGGGGAATAATTCATAAATAAGAGGTTTAGTTTTATCAATTTCAAATTTAAGAAATTAAGTTTAAAATTTAAAATTTCACATTTCAGAGTTTTTTAAATTTTATTTATAAAATAATTAATTAAATATATTAATGTCACAATTTCATATAATTTGGTCACAAATTCCATATAATTGGTCACGAAATAATAAATTTTATGTCAAAAATTATTTTACAATCACAATTCAAAAATTTTATATGTCACAATTTGTTCATCGGTCATAAATAAAAAATTGAAACGTCACAGATTATTTTACTGTGACAAATTAGAAATTTTATAGGTAACAAATTATTTTACGGTCACAGTTCCAAAATTTTATAGATCACGATTTATTCATGGTTACAAATCAAAAATTGGAACGTTACAAATTATTTTACGATCACAAATCAGAAATATTATAGGTCACAAATTATTTTACGGTCACAATTCCAAAATTTTATAGGTCACAATTTATTCATCGGTTACAAATCAAAAATTGAAACATTACAAATTATTTTACAGTCACAAATCAAAAATTTTATAGTCACAAATTATTTCAAGATCACAAATTAAAAATTTTATACGTCACAATTTAATTCATTGGTCACGGATCAAAAAATTATAGATCACAGTTTATCGATAGGTCACATATTTCCAAATTTCTTGATCACAAATTATCGAAATTTAAGGTCACGGATTAATAATGAGTCACGATGAACCAAAATGTCAGTCACATACACCAAACAGCCCACCCCTGTCCCGATCCTCTACCAATATTTGGTCACAAATCAACCAAATAATTGGCCACAAATACTATCACACCCCGCCCTTGCCACAACATAGTGATGGCAATCGAGCCGAGCGGCTCGTCGGCTCGACCGCTCGACTCGTACTGTAGCGATCCACGAGCCGCTCGGACTCGTCAAAAGACGAGCCCGAGCTCGAGCCGAGCGGACCCGTTCATAGACGAGCCGAGCTCGGCTCGGCTCGTTACGAGACGAGCGCTCGTGGGGCACGAGCCCACGAGCCGAGCTCATGGGCTCGTGAAAAACATTAAAAAAAAAAAATTGACGAGCCGAGCCGAGCCGGCTCGGCTCGTGGCTCGTGAATCACGAGCTCGTAGGCCGAGCCGAGCTCGCCCACGAGCAAACGAGCCGAGCAGAAGCTCGGCTCTTTTTGTAACGAGCCACGAGCTCGGCTCGTAGGGCAACGAGCTGAGCTCGTGGGGCAACGAGCCAAGCCGGCTCGGCTCAGCCCATTGCCATCACTACCACAACACCACCCAAACCACCACTGTCTTCCCGTCACAACACCTAGACACCAACACAACCACCGCCACAATTAAAAAATAAAAAAAAAACCACAACCATCTCCACCACCCACCACCCGCAACCACTGCACCACCACCACCAACTACCTTCACCACCAACAACAGAAACGTACCACCAACGCCATCGCCACAACTACCGTTATCACCGCCACAGCCACCATCACTGCCATCACCGCCACAGCCCAAGATCAACTAATTGAGAAACCTAGGCACCCCCAAATCTGGCTTGACCGCCATCCTTCACGTCCAAAAATCACCCCCAAAAATCATCTCAAAACCATGACACCATCGTTTATGCTAGCAATCAAATAAACCACAAACAAGGAGTTACAGACCATCGTGGTTGATATTAATCATAAACTATGGCGGCACAACGCCACTGTAAGATACTCGCAATGAGGCCGCTGCGAGCGACGGCATAGCACCTTCTGCACTGGTTTTGAGCGGTGGCCCTTGCGTCGTCGACGAATGACGGGATATTTGCGCGTGGTTGCAGTGCCTCTTCGAGGGAGGAGAGGGACGCGTCGGTAGAGATGGGTGGTGGTGTGAGGCTGCACTGTGCTGTCTCATCACGATGGTGGTGTAAGGTTGTGCTTCTGGCAGAGAGGAAGGAGAGCGATGTCACCAAATTAGAGAGGGGCGGCGACGCCATGAGTGGTGGGGTTGGTAGAAATAGTGAATAGAGAGAAGAGGGAGAAGAGAGTGGAAATGATTTTTTTTAAAAAAAGGATGAACCGCATCCTTAGCGGCCTCCACCTGCCCTGCCCTAGGCCTTAGTGAAAGAGGTAAATCGCAGGTTATGCCTCCAAGGGTACAGGGTGGAATGCTACTTGTACACTTGCACTTACCCAATGGCCAAATCCATATTTCAGGATTCGAACCCTTGACGCGGCAATCTTAAGCAAAGTTGGAGTTTTTCCACATTCCCCTTTTACCACTTGGAGATGTACCCTGGGGGCAGGAAATGATTTTTAGGGTTTGGAAGAAATTGAATTGGGGTTATAGGGTAGGTGGGGTAGGTGGGTGGGGTGGGTGAATTTTATAATATTATTATTAATATTTAAAATGTTAATTATATCTGATTTTTGAAAGAAAAACTTGTAATTCTTAATTATGAATTCAGATATTTAAAACACTTAGTTCACGTAATTTCCACCTTATTATGTGTCTTTCTCTCTCATCTATTGGGTCTCTAAGGTATGGTGATTTGAAAGGACAATCCTAATTTCCAAGATTTCGAATATGAGATATTTATGTGTGATGATTTTGTATGTGTTTGTTGTAAGATTGTCTGTTCAAATCACCATGCCTTGGACTTCGAATAGCAAAATGTTTTGAAAAACTTGAAAATTAAGGTCCTTGTCCAAAATAATGACCGATTAAGTTCACCTCTATAGTTTAGTCCATTAGCTAATTTAGAAAAGGAGGGGATTTATGTACATGACATAGTGTCAAGTCTGAACGATTAAGAGAGGGTTGATGTCAAACAAAGACAATCAAAATCGATCCTAGTAATGGAGTCATCTATAGTTAATTAATTTTGTCTTATTTATCTAATACTAACCAAACAATCAACTAGGTAACGTAAGAAAATTGATCCATGGAAATTTTATGGTGTAAATTTGAAGTATTTCCTCCCAATTATAATCCCCCAAACTCCTATATCAGTGTCCTAGAAAATGAAAATAACTCAAAATAACCTTTTACTACTAAGGATCTTTGATGAGAACCATGTTACAGAAGTTAGCAAAGACAAAGACTCATTGATTGTGAAGGAAGGACCAATAATTAGGTCACGAGTAAAGAAAGTCAAAGAAATCATGTGATTATTTGTTCAAGTTAAGATAGATGAAATATTGATCACAACAAGTAAAAAAGACAAGTTTGATATTGAGTTTGGAAGACGGAATAAGATGGATCAACTTGATGCAAGCAACAGACGAAAGAGTTGAATGGCGAAGCTATGCAACCGCATAGCATACCTATGCATATAGCCATACTGAACCAAATTGAGAGCAGTCGAAGTGGCCTATGCGACCGCATAACATACCTATGCACGCAGCCATACCGAACCAAATCGAGGGCAATCGAAGTGGCCTATACGACCGCATGTAATTTCACTATGGGGCCGCATAGCACAATTATGTGCTTGTCTTTTCCGAATTTCGCCTGGAATTCTAATTTCGTTAAAACTCTTTTATAGTATCTTTTTTTTATATCTTTTAAGGTTCAATTCCGTTTTTTAACTAGATTTTATGGATTCCATATAAATATGATTATTCTTTTCATTGTAAAAACATACAATTTGATAGATATTATTGCAAAGCATATTGTTTTCAACTCGTTCTTCATTGAATTAATTCTGAACTCATCAAGAATTAAATTCTTTTGACGTTCAATAACTTAAGTAACGTTCATAAGTTTTGTGATCACGGGATCAAGATATGGTGGGCAATTGTTTTGGTTATTTGGTTCAACAATTTATTGGGTAACTTTTCAAACGTTGATTCTTAACTTTTTTGGGTTTGATTTAATTTGTCATGGATTTCGTAACTTCAATTGCTATACGATTTTGCATCAATCTTGTTATGTGTACATCAAGATTTACATAAGGAATTATATAATGTCACGTTGCACTCTACCATTTTGCCAAATTAAAATACAATCACAATTTTCATCTAATATTTTCCCTCCACATCATTTTCGATAACCGCTTATGTACCATTTTGATGTATAAGTAAAAAAATCTTTTTATCAAATCGAGATGATAGCACTTTCCCAATATCAGTTTGTGCCACTTGTACAGTCAGTTTGAAAGATGCTTTGAAATTGCTTTTTTGTTTTTCATCCGTCAAAGTTTCTGCTTTTTATTTTTTCATCTATTAAATTAGGGGTGTCCAAAAGTCTCGAACCGAACCCGAATCGAGCGGTTCTTCATAAATTAAATACCCGAACATGTACCCGAATCAAGAACCGATGAGTTTGGGTCGGGTCTCGGGTCTAGACCAAGAATCGAAGAATCGAATAAGAACCGAAACTAAATAATTTTTTTATTTTTTATATTGAATTAATTAAATTATTTTATTTTTTTCTAAACAAATTAGTAAATTAATTAAATAAATCAGATTATTTCATAATTTTAATTTTAAAACCCAAATCATTTTTAAAATCCATTAGCCCATTTTTATTTGAAGCAAATGAATATACTTTATGTAGTGTTGCTGTAATATTAATATTTACTTTTTGGTATTTGTATACATTGAATTAATCTTATTGGGCGGTTAGTTATTTATATGTTTTTTAATTGGACTATGTTAAGAGGAAATTACATAAATCCAGGTATTTAAAAATAGCTTTTTAAAAATCAGGTTCAAACTTTATTTGTTCAAAAATCAGGTAATATAAAA